TTCGATATTGCAAACATTTGAGTTCCAGTAGTAATTCAAGTTCAGAATTGGAAATTGATGATGAATGAGATATGTAGTCAAGTAATATAAATATAATTTTACAATTTTGTTTCTTTTTATCTACTATCAATAGCAGCAAGTATTAACTGGTATCAAAATTTTTATTATTTTATTGATAAATCATACATATCAATAGAGACTTTGCAAACTTTGTAATAATTGCCTAGGTAAGTATTATTTTTACATATGCCTACTTACCTATTTAAATTCCAATTATGCGAGCAAGCCTTGGGCTGAGCTTGCCTAAATAATGAGCATTGACAAAGAATGTTCTTTGCTGTTATTGGTTGTCTAGCAATATCTTGTTATTAAACATTCTACATCGAATGTATACCCTTCTATAATAAGATTTCTGTAGATATTCAAAATTTGCCTTTTACGAAACTTAATATTCTCGCGGAACATAACTTTTTATGAAAAATTATACAGCCTCAGTGAATTTGAATAGCACAAATTGATACAAAAATAATAATTTTAACCTCCTTCTTCTTAGTGAGACGACTCTGACGCTTATATTTGTGAGGACCAGTACTCAGCGACTGACACAGCATTATCAGTGGCGTTGTACAGATCCTCGCATGGGCAAGTGTAGGTGTATACATGCGCTCTCAGAGCTATTACCTGTGCATGCTCTCCTCGCTTCGGCCGACTTGGGTCTGCAGTCTATTTAAAAACTTCTAAGTGTGCCAAGGTAGATTATGCCCTCCTCAAATTTAATCTCCTAAAAACCAGGCAAACTAAAGTGGGAAAAGCGTTAAATGCCCAATGTAAATGAAAATGTATAAGTATCTATGCTTCGTGCCCAAGCAAGTATGACGTCAGTTTTCTATGAAAAACATATGTTTTTTATAATATGAAGTGACGGGACAAATACAGACCCAAAACGTGTCAGTAAGTAACCACAAAAACTTAAAAGTTTATTTTTGGTAAATTTATTATGTTTTGTAAAAAATCATGGTCCAAAAGTTGTTGTTTCTGGTGATAGTAATAAAGTCCTATAGTCCCCTATGCAGCGCTAAGATGAAATGCACTGTTTTCATTATAATGTACACAGGGCGTTTACGTGATAATAGGAATAATATGATCCGTGTCTGAATCATTTCACATAGTAAGTACTCACTCATTTTTCTTAGTGGGATATTCCTTACGAATGTATAAGACATTTGGGAATTTCGTGTGTAATTTGTTAATATATAAAATAAAGATATTTGGTTTTTTCAAATTTCGAATATAAAAGTTAATATCGTTTTATTCTGTGTATTTTGAACACTCCAGTCTGCGCCTACAAATCACCTGTTCAAACACTCAAATCCACCGGTTTCCGTTCAAGTGATTTCGATCTACTCGTCCTCATCTTTTTCTACCGACACAATTTTATCCTCTACTAAAAGCTTCACGAGGCAGTAAGTAAACAAATCGAAAAAAATATTCGAAGTTCAACGGTAAATTACTTTAAAAATTCCATTTGGTAGACAAACGTTTTGAGTAACAGGAATTCAATAATGTGTTGAAATAAACGGTGATTGGTTGTTGTTTGTTTGAAGAAACGTTGGTATCGAAAATACAAGATTGTAGTAAGAGTAATTTTGTGGCGAGGCGTGGAAATTGTCGTATTGTTTTTTTTTACACTCATAGCCCCGCACTAGGGAGACCCTGTGTCGCGGGTGCCATAGACACACACATAGACAACCACAAACTACGTCCAAACTCACGAGGGAAATAAATGTAGGCCATACAAATATTTCTCCCGCCTCGGGAATCGAACCCGAGACCTCTTGCGTGGAAGTCCAGCATCATAACCGTTCGGCCACGGAGGCAGTAGGTATTTAAAATTGTATAAAAATATACTTTTAAACTTTCGCGTTGAATAGTACTAACATTTGAAAACGGGAATAAACCCGCAAAAAAGACTAATACGTATTTTCACGCCTACCTATTTTCCCGACGTTTCGGCCAGGTTGCACTGGCCGTAATGTGCTTCATTGTTGCTTAATTTTGGCGTCGCGGTTATATTATATCAGTGCCTCCAGTGAGAAACGGAATAAGACGAGTATTGACCTTATTATTTTTATTGCACCATTGGCTTCAGCACGTCCGATTATATAACATATTAAAAGGATATGTCTTTAGGGCGCGATTATTCGACACGAATCTCATCGCGCTCACGCCTCTCGGTCGCCGCGCACAGACTACGTGCATTTAACAGTCATGGCAAAATACGCTCTATTTATTTAGTACTACTATGCGTTTTAACTCACATGAGCGCCACGGGCGTGCTGGCGAGGTTGGATTTTCCTTGGTCTACCCGCTCACGCGATACATGCAGCCGTAGACGCATACCATACTTAGAGGTGCCGGTGATGATTTTATACCGATTTATCGGATATCGAAGTTATAACAGGTAATAGAACTAATATTAACTGCTGTTTCGGTAACTACTCTAGCAAACCATAAAGTTTTTAATGTCTGTCATTTAAAAAATAAACAACTTCAAAAATACGTCACGACCATCGTGTGTGTTATTGTTTGGGAGGGTGATTTCGGTGTTTATTTATTGAAAACATACCGTAAGTCGCGTTGTTTAAGTTTACCCTGAATATAAATGTTTATAAACTATACTTTAAGGAGTAATTTCATGGTAAACGTTAGAACCACTCAAACGGAATATTATCATATTTATCCAAGTACACCAAAAATTTCATTAGTGCTTTTTAAGTGCAGGATTTGTGGTGTATTACTGCATTTTATTTGAGTTTTTGTTGGTAGTACGGAGGATGTTTATTTAGCAATGCAGAATAATAATTTTTATTTATAAATACTTCCATTTAAACTGAATGCTTTTCTAATTTGCGAAACCAAATACGCGGCTGCCGCGCGGCTACGCGGCGTTTGTACAATACAAGGAATTTACATGTTCTTGCCTAGTAAATGGAATTCAGATTCGCCAGTAACGTACGTGAAAGCATGGTAATCGTGTAACTGGGCGCTTAGCACTCTTCTAACCTCGTTTGTTTTTATTGATGGTAAAAAAATTGGACTAAAAGTGACTACTCCCTTATTCCATAGTGTACATAAAGGCATAACTAAGCACTCCGTTTATTCCACTAGACACGACTAGTAATTCCTGCGCTTAAACCGTGATGCTATTGGATGTATTTTATCAATGTGATGGTTATCATAAGCATTATTATAACCATAGAACAGTTGCCATTAAGAGAATAAATCGTTTTAAGACTTAAAATTTGTTAACGCAAGTCGTGTCAATACCGTTAAGCCCTTGTACAACTCGAAAAAAAACTTAAAAACAAATTGTTTAACCAATTCCCATCAAACGAAAGCTTAGACGTATACCTAACGCTAGAAATAATAAAAAGTACTAATAATAAATGCGAACAACCGACTATGAATAAAGGTATAGTTTTTTTGCCTCTCCTGAAAACTGTCGATTTTGAGTTATTCCCTTATGCTGTTGATTATCGGTGACCAAATTTGTCGTCGATATCTAACGAACTCAATGCATACGACCAGCAGTTTGTCGGTCTTCCCTCAGCACGCGTAATTGGCCGGTTGGCCATTCGTTTCAAAATCTTTATTTATATTTGGCGATCAATCTTTCTCATGTGGGTAGCTAATACAATCGTCCACCAATTTGTGATAGTTGTAGTATATGTAATTGGTAGGTCCTAGAATAACTTTATTACAATAAAATATCGGCTCGCTGACACACACGCTACGTCTTCACCTCGTGGCGGTCGGTCGACTGTCCCCGTTCCCCCGCCCCACCGTTCCGCATAGCGTGTTGTCCGAGACGACAGAATAACTATTTATTTACATTGATGTACTATACACTACAATAGTCTACGAGGATCGTGATTAATAATAATAAGATGAGGCTTGCAAAACGCCTATTTAATCCCTGTAATAATAAAATATCATTGTTTGATGTTCATCTTCCAAACACGTCAAAATGGGTTCAGGAATTTCAATTAAAGTGACATAGATAATTACTTCGAGCATGATCATATAAAGCACTTTTTATTCTAAACGATAACGAAATTACTTAAGAGCAGCAAATAGTAAAAATAAAAAAGATATTTTCAAATTTCGAAGTCATTGGAAGAGGAGGGTAGAAGGGGGAATTCGGAAAGGGCGGATTGGTTAATACCGATCTACCGGCTAACACTACCCGCAGCTCTTCACTCATCCCGTTATCACGATCTATGAAACTGTATCAAAATAAATCCGTTGAATTATATATTTTTCACCTCACTAAATCGGAAAGGCTTCCTGTCTCATTAGAAACGGTTTTTGAAATTCGAAGTTGACGATGGACTGTGGTGCACCTAACTTTTTCTTTAGACGAAGAAAAAGATAATGACATACATTACTCATTACTTATTTATATATATTTGGGTCTTATTGCTGTTGATATTAAATTGACAATGATAACTAATTGTGTTTATTAAATTATTTTAATTCGTCGAAGAACTAAAATGATTTCAATAATCACTTAATGACACAAAATAAAAGTATGAACAAGAATAAAAATTGATGAGGTATAAATTCAGAACGCATCCGAAGTTAAATTATTTATTTTAATTAAAAAACTGATGTTTTATAATTCAACTGTTTTTTCTTTCATCTACCATTTTCCTCGTTATAGTGAGGTGAAAAGTTGCTTTGCGTCTCGTGTCTTGAAACGCTCGCTACGCTCAGGAATCTATTTTTCAATCAGTCGCTTCGCTCGTCACTACAATCTTGGTTTCAATACAAGCACTCACGTTAAACAACAACTTTGCAGCCTTGCATAAAAAATTACTATTTTCTAGCAGCAGAGCTGGTGAAATTACTGTTGACTTGTCAACTTATGTCTCAGGGTGACGGGCGCAGAGGCACTGTACGCTTAGCTCTAAGTAGCACAGACACAAATTTGTACTTACTCGTCCAACAAACGGCAAACCAGGCTTATATCTGCGTCTCATATTGTCAGCAAAGCGTAGTTCCACGTAGTGCTGTTCGGCAGCCGGCGCTGCAGAAGCAGAACTTCCGATGCCGGTGCCCACGCTGATGTCGACCCGGGCCGATCCGCCACCGCAGCGGGCTTCGATACGCCATGTGCCGCAGCGAGCTCCGTTGGCTAGAATTGCGCTGAACTTCCGGACTCCTGATGAAGAAAAATTAAGAATGAATGAAAAATTCAAGAATAAGCCAGACAACAGCAATGCGCAGCTTTGGGGTAATAAGATAACATATGCAAAATGACATATTTTCAGGAGAGAGGTTTAAAGACTGTATTAACGAAATTAGTCGTAATGACATAATTGTAACTTTTTTGAAAAAAAAAACCAATTTCAAAAGTCCTTGGAATTGTGTTTATTTGCCAAGTTTTATTGAATTCGGTTACCGGAAAAAGCGCGAAACCGGATTCATCCCCTGGTTTGCCACCCTATAGAGGTGGAATATTTTCTTAACCCTTTCATGGACACTAATGAAATAATACCGCACACCAAAAGTCACTACTTTTCTTCATGCCGCCGTAGTGACCATATTGATTCAACATAATTATTACGTTTTTCGACTGTCAAATACTTCATTTTCGGTGGAACATCACTGGTAGCTATAGTTACCAGTAAATTACAGTACCCGATTGGTGATCTGTTTTACAAATAACTTTTGTGTTACCACACGTATTAACACCAAATTTTTACTAGTATTTCACTGTTAAATACTCGATATCCTAGTATAAAAACTGTTCTTGCAAATGTTTCTTGTGCATAAGTAAGTACGGTTATGACAATAGTAGAGTGATTTTATTTATTACAGCAAAAAAGTCTAACATTAAAATAACGTACACCGTAAAATAGCGTAACCCTTGCAGTATAAGAAGACAAATCGAAGTTATTATGTCCTAACAATTCCTAAAGAAACAATTACTAATTATATTATATTTAAGCAGTGATGAAGATTATTTATTTGCCATTTGAATAATTAAATCACAGTTTGGAAAGTAGTAAGAGAAGTGATTTTGATTACTAATAGTACACTGTATATATCGTCTAGTTATTCATCAAATTTAAACGAAAATAAAGTAATTTCACCTAGATGGCAGAAAATGCCCACCTAACTAACCTGACTTAAAATGTGAAAACACGTTTCATTATTATTTATTATAGAATAGGGTTTCAGCAGTACACATTATTGGTTTATTGAATTACTAAAAAACTATGCATTTAGAGAAAAAAATTGAGGGATTTTTTACTGTCGGAAAGTTCCAGCGCGAAAACAAACTACACAACAATTCATAAATTATTTTGGTCAATTTCATGTGACGAAAGCACTTTTGGATATGATCACAAGTGGCTTTATACATTGTAACAAGGGTAATAAAATTGTCTTGAAGCCACTGGTAATTGTAATTTCGTTGCAATAGCCGTTGAGTCTTAATAGAGAGTCGGGTGAATGGCACTGATGGCATTCATTCATTCAATCAATAACGATCGACATCGCCTTACTAAAACTTTCATGGAAACTACTATGCATATCTCAATGTTTACATTGCTTAATGAAAAATTTAGTTTTCAAATGGAAACGTGGAGACTAAAAAAGGCGGAACGTGACCGCATTGAGGCTTTCGAGATGTGCCGCTGGAGCAAAACGTTGGAAGTCTGTTGAACTGATTTTCGGAACAGCCACTTAATTCAGCTTAACGTCCATACCAGACTATTCACTTTACGTCTCCGTAGGATACTTGACTTCTTTGGTCACAGACCAGGAAAGAAGGACATAACCTCGAACAGCTAATAATAGCAGTAGAGCACCTAGTGAAAGAGTTCGTCCAGGGAAGTACTGCCATTCAAAACCGGAACTCAGTAATGATGACATTACTGCTTGGCGGCAGAAATAGGTAAGGTGGCAGTACTACACTGGACGAACTCTTTCACAAGGAGCTCTACTACTACTACTCTGTACTACTACTAGATATATAAAGTTAGTAAGCTACACCATCGACATGTCATTAAATAGCAGAATACCAAACGTGCAAAATCCTGCCATTGACACTCTATCAACATACAACTGAGATAATTTACAAATAGCAAACTAGGGGCCCTGACCTGAAACGAGGAAATTCTTTATTCTGTCAATATTTCAGCAACGGACTTAGTTCCGAGAAACTCAAAAGCACCAAAGCTCTTAATGGTCATAAATATGTGGTAACATATGAAAGCGCTAGCATAAATACCAGTCTGGTGCAAAATGGAGGATAGGGGGTTGTGGTCGTCGGGGAGAACGCTTGCACGTTACTATCTTACTGCCAAATACGAATCTAAAAAGTGTATAATAAAAAAAAAATGTACAATAAAAAATTCAAATTTACGTTTGGCAAATTTATTATGTTTTGTAAAAAACCATAGAACAAAAAGTTGTTTATTATAATTTAAAATATAGTCTTGCATGGTACTAGTATTTGATAAGTAACTCTGTTTATATTTATCATACCATTCTGATTTTGGTGCGTTACGACATTACGATGTGACAAAAAAATTTTACTAAACTTCGGAATTTATTGTAAATGTGTGATATGATTGCAACTATAAAAAATCAATCTGCCCAAATCTGCCGCACTGGTAACTGAAAACTTACTTCCAAAACTTCTTACTTCAATATCTCTACCACGACATTACAGAATTAATAGTCAGTAGTGGTAGCAAAAAATATTTGACAATTTCGCATGACAACTTACAATACAGCGCCCCTAGTGGTAAGAAGAAACAAAATTTTCTGTACACAAATTCTTTACGCGGTCGCTACCGACAATAGACACACTACACTTACGTCAGAGGTTAGATTACATGTTGTCAAATCAAACAATTCAAGTTCTTTGTAGAAACAAACGAAAACAAAAAATAAATTCCGGTGACAAAATCCGAAACTTACGTACCATCCAAAACAATAACACCAAACTAAAGATTACAACATTTTTCTCGACTGCATACTTAATTTGGTATGATTGTATCAGACCGTTCAACGAACCAAAACGAGCAACGGAAAAGGACATGTTTTATATGAAAGGAGCATCTAGGGATGGCAAATATTTTTTTTTATTTAAAAATATTAATCGGTGGTAGGCATTTAAACATTTGACTGTAAAAACGTAATGAAGCAATAATTGTATAATTTGAAAAGCTGTAAGGGATTACGTCTCTATTAACTATTTGCAAACTTCTTAATATTACGAGAGTTGCGATAATTTGTTAGGTTTAGACCTTGTCCAGAAGGAGCGAATTCGCCGCATATCATCTCGCACATATTACGCGCGAACGTTGCGTCCAAGAAAAGCGTTACGCGCGAGCGTTTGAGGACGGATTCAATCAGTATGACACATAATTTGAGTTTAAGCATTTGTATAATATACAAAAACTAATTTCAGAGTAACTTTGTCATTACAAAGTGTAATTTTTATACCCTTGGCGTTTTATGGGTATAAAAATATTCATCCATATTTGAGGTAAGGAAAAGGACAGGTCTGTGGTACCAAATAATATGTAATAGGCAAATTGCACACAGAGGTTTTAACAAGTTCAGTAAGTAGGCTTTAAGGAAAGTAGTTTACTAACTGTAAGCAACTCTAATAACCGCTAAGACTAATCCAATTTTTGTTACAATTTGTGAAGAAAAATGTTTACAAACCCTAGTTGTTTGTTTACCTCATTTCTAATGTTAAAAAAGCGGTTATAGAAGATGGAAAAAAATAAACTAAGATTTCGCTGGATACGTACATGCGCTCTGAAGTTCGCGCGTAATGTGGACGTAACCTAGTATCTCGACTCGCACGAGTCACGCGCGTCATTCGCGTGTCGGAGTCTGGCGTATTGCACGCGAATTATACACGTAGTTTAAACTCGCGCTATGCTTGTGGACGCGATGCATAAGCGTCCAGTACCTCGCCGACTCGCGGCGACAGACGATTCGCAGCGTATTCGCCCCTTTTGAAGAAGGTCTTAGGGTTTAGGGCTTTTTTCTGTCTTTTGTGCCTATGATGGCTCTGTACTCGTCAATGTTCTGATATAAGGAAGAAAAGTAAATAAACGGCTACACTGAAAACAATATGACTCTTATTGTGGTGGAGCTTAGTGGAATCAATCAACTTCTTGATTGAATCAATTACAACATGATTAAATTCATTACTTAAAATTTTTTGCAAGTGTGCTCAAAATATTGGTATTATCAAGAATAATGATTGCAGAAACAATTTTAAGTAAAATCTATTTCTCTAATTAAATTTTTTTATGCAATTATTAATGCCATTTCTTGTCACAATATTTTATTAATGTTTTGTGTATACCAATCCACTACTTGCCTATTTCTTTGCTGAATTAAAAACACCTCACAAAGTTTTTTGTTCAACCCTACACGAACGGTCACTCTCAAAGTTTTTGCTCTGTTATGACATGTGACTTTTAAGAGGGTCTTCAAACGTGATTAATCAAAGCTAACTCGAACCCGGCTCACTTGGTGACAGGGCGTTACGTCACTTGGTGCGTTGATTATTAATGCGCTGACTAAAGCTTAGATTTAGTATGACCAATCATTGAGCCGACTGCAATTTTGTAAAAATGATCGAATACTTAAACTGCGTCATAACAAGTTTGCGTCAGAGGAGACAATCATTGTGTACTGATTCTGAATCTCTTTTTAAAAATAATAATAATAATAATAATAATAATAAGAGCTTTATTTATCTACATTAAATAATAATTTAACCTTAAATAACATAATCTGAAGTTACACATGTAGATAAAAAGGCAAGAGTCTCAGCTTGAGCTGTTTTTCAGACTTTACCTTTTTGTTGAAACGCTTCATTTAATTCTGTAATATTAATAATATAATAATTCTGACGTGTCTCGACAAGCTCCAGTAAAATGACTAAAGTATACAATTTAAACTTAAAGCTATGATTACATTGTCATAATGGTACCAAATCCACATAAAATATTTCATTTCAAAATACATGAAGTATAGATAAAGTATAGATAGGGATGAACTGCACACATAATAACAATAAATAGTGAAAAATTATAATATATATATATATATATATATATATATAAATAAATAAATAAATAAAGAACAAAAATAAAAATATGCATAAATCCACTGGACGAC